GGGGGGATGCCCAGAGGAGCCCAGAGCGACCTCTGGCACCGTTTCCGGACAGATCCGCTGGATCCGGTGGATCCGCCGACGAATCCAAACCGGCGCCCTCGCCTGAGACATCCTCACAAAACGGGCCCCGGGGGGGATGCCCAGAGGAACCCAGAGCGGCCTCCGGCACCGTTTCCGGACGGATCCGGTGGATCCGCTGGATCCGCTGGATCCGGTCACGAATCCCAAACCGGCGCCCTCGCGTGAGACATCCTCACAAAACAGGCCCCGGGGGGGATGCCCAGAGGAGCCCAGAGCGGCCTCCGGCACCGTTTCCGGACGGATCCGCTGGATCCGCTGGATCCGGTGACGAATCCCAAACCGGCGCCCTCGCCTGAGACATCCTCACAAAACGGGCCCCGGGGGGGATGACCAGAGGAGCCCAGAGCGGCCTCCGGCACCGTTTCCGGACGGATCCGCTGGATCCGCTGGATCCGGTGACGAATCCCAAACCGGCGCCCTCGCCTGAGACATCCTCACAAAACGGGCCCCGGGGGGGATGCCCAGAGGAGCCAGAGCGGCCTCCGGCACCGTTTCCGGACGGATCCGCTGGATCCGCTGGATCCGGTGACGAATCCCAAACCGGCGCCCTCGCCTGAGACATCCTCACAAAACCAGCCCGGGGGGAGGTGACCAGAGGAGCCCAGAGCGGCCTCCGGCACCGTTTCTGGACGGACGACCTGACTGCATAACACGCCTGGATATGCCGACGGGGGCGAAGGAGGAGGAGGAGGAGGAGGAGGAGGAGGGGGAGGAGGAGGAGGAGGAGGAGGATGAGGAGGAGGAGGAGGAGGAGGAGGAGGAGGAGGAGGAGGAGGAGGGGGAGGGGGCAGGCGAGGGAGCCCCGGCCCTGGGGGAGGGGCCCTGAGGGAGCCCTGACGGGCTTCCGGCACCATGGAGAGGTCCTGTGGGGCGGCCGCCCCTTCTTCTCTCGGTCGTTTCCCTCTCGCCCAGAAGCGCGCGCCCCTTCTTCTATATCTACAGAAACTCCCGATCAACCGCAGAGCGGCGGATGTTACTAATCATCATCAGAATAGTTTGAGGGAGTTTCTGTGGAACTCACGTCATCCTCACCCCCGGCGCGAAGAGCACGAGTCCAGAGCGGCCTCCGGCACCGTTTCCGGACAGATCCGGTGGATCCGCTGGATCCGCTGGATCCGGTGACGAATCCCAAAACAGGCGCACTCGCTGCGAATCCTCACAAAAAACGGCCCCGGGGGAGGTGCCACGAGGAGCCCAGAGCGGACTCCGGCACCGTTTCCGGACAGACTACGGTGCGATCCGCTGGATTCCGCTGATCCGGTGACGAACCCAAACCGGCGCGCCTCGCTTTGAGCAAATCCTCACAAAACCGGCCCCGGGGGAGGTGCCCAGAGGAGCCCAGAGCGGCCTCCGGCACCGTTTCCGGACAGATCCGGTGGATCCGGTGGATCCGCCGACGAATCCCAAACCGGCGCCCTCGCTTGAGACATCCTCACAAAACCGGGCCCGGGGGAGGTGCCCAGAGGAGCCCAGAGCGGCCTCCGGCACCGTTTCCGGACAGATCCGGTGGATCCGGTGGATCCGCCGACGAACCCAAACCGGCGCCCTCGCTTGAGACATCCTCACAAAACCGGCCCCGGGGGAGGTGCCCAGAGGAGCCCAGAGCGGCCTCCGGCACCGTTTCCGGACAGATCCGGTGGATCCGCTGGATCCGCTGGATCCGGTGACGAATCCCAAACCGGCGCCCTCGCTTGAGTCATCCTCACAAAACCGGCCCCGGGGGAGGTGCCCAGAGGAGCCCAGAGCGGCCTCCGGCACCGTTTCCGGACAGATCCGGTGGATCCGGTGACGAATCCCAAACCGGCGCCCTCGCTTGAGACATCCTCACAAAACCGGCCCCGGGGGAGGTGCCCAGAGGAGCCCAGAGCGGCCTACGGCACAGTTTCCGGACAGATCCGGTGGATCCGGTGGATCCGCCGACGAATCCCAAACCGGCGCCCTCGCTTGAGACATCCTCACAAAACCGGCCCCGGGGGAGGTGCCCAGAGGAGCCCAGAGCGGCCTCCGGCACCGTTTCCGGACAGATCCGGTGGATCCGCTGGATCCGCTGGATCCGGTGACGAATCCAAAACCGGCGCCCTCGCTTGAGACATCCTCACAAAACCGGCCCCGGGGGAGGTGCCCAGAGGAGCCCAGAGCGGCCTCCGGCACCGTTTACGGACAGATCCGGGACAGATTCCGGTGGATCGCGCCCGGGGAGGTGCCCAGCAGGAGGAATGCGGAGGAGGTAGGAGTTGAGGAGGAGGAGGAGGAGGAGGAGGAGGAGGAGGAGGATGAGGAGGAGGAGGAGGAGGAGGAAGGAGGAGGAGGAGGAGGAGGAGGAGGAGGAGGAGGAGGAGGAAGGAGGAGGAGGAGGAGGAGAGAGAGGAGGAGGCGGAGAGGAGGAGGAGGAGGAGGAGGAGGAGGAGGAGGAGGAGGAGGATGAGGAGGAGGCGGAGGAGGAGGGAGGAGGAGGAGGAGGAGGATGGAGAAGATGATGGAGGCTGCGGGGGTGGCGTAGGACAGACGGAGGCAGATAAGGATGGAGGAGGAGGAGGAGGAGGAAGGAGGAGGAGGAGGAGGAGGAGGAGGAGGAGGAGGAGGAGTGAGGAGGAGGAGGAGGAGGGTGAGGAGGAGGAGGAGGAGGAACCTCATCACCCTCGCCAACAAGCGCACGCACCTTCTTCTATATACAGAAACTCCCGATCAACCGCAGAGCGGCCGGCTAGTAATAGCATTATTATTCATACTAACAGCAGTAATACGAGTCATATTAGTAATACGAAGGTTAATGCATTCGTAAGAAAATAAGTAATAACACGAAGACGAATGATAATGAGGAGGAGGAGGAGGAGGATGAGGAGGAGGAGGAGGAGGAGGAGGAGGAGGAGGAGGAGGAGGAGGAGGAGGAGGAGGAGGAGGAGGACCTCCCCATCCTCCCTTCTCCCCCGTCCTACCTGTGGTAGTGGTGGTGGGAAATTGGCCCATCATCCTCGCCACCGCCATCCGCGGCTCCTTCGCCTCCGCGGAGGCCGCGGAGGCCCCCAAGGCGCGCCTGGCCGCGGAGGCCGCGCCGCCCGGCCCGCCAGCGCTGGGCGGCGGGCGCCTGGCGCGGGTGCTGCAGGTCGGCGGCGAGCAGAGGGGGGTAGGGGGAGGGGGGAAGGCTTCCTGGAAGCGCCCCTGCTTCTTGGAGGGTGCGGGCCTCGTCTGCAGATGTGAGGCCCGCGCCTTCCAAGAAGCAGCCTCCTCATGAGGAGCCGTTCCCCCTCCCCCTGCTCCCTTGTGCGCGCCGCCGAAGCAGGAGCAGCGCGAGGTGGCGGAGGAGCTCGGGCGCCTGCAGGCGCGGCAGCGGCGCCTGGTGGACGAGGCCGCGGCGCTGCTGGGGCTGGAGGGGCTGGCCGGCGGACCAAGGTCGACCAGACGCGAGAGTGACCTCTCGCCGGAGTGACCTTCGGCGCGGGCCCACCGGGGCCGCCCGATGGCTGAGCGCGAAGCGGCGGCAGCGGCTTGCGCACCCAGGTTTGGTCACCCCGCGTCCCCCGTCAAGCCGCGCGCACCAAAGGTCACTCTTGCCTGGGGCCACTCCTGCGTGTAAAACCGACAAGGGAGCTGCGGGTGCTGGAGGACAGCGCGCCTCTGCCCGGCCGGTCGCTCAGGGGCAGTACCAGCACCTCGAGGCCCGGGGGGGCCGCCGTCGAGCCCAGGGAGGAGGTCCTGTCGATGTTGGACTGCCTGGCTCCGGGCGAGGGCTGCTGCGCCGCCGCCAAGGCCTCCGTGCGTGCCAACGCCGAGCTGCACGCGCAGCAGGAGGCCGTAGTCGCCAGCCAGACGCGGCGCCCTTCCACTGGGCTGCCCACTCCGGCCGCGGCGGGGGGGCCCTTCGACCTGGGCTGCTCACTGCTGGGGCCCGCAGAGGTGGCAGTGCTGCTTCAGAGTGGGCTGGCGGCAGTGCCGCAGGGGAGACAGGTCCAGCAAAACCAGCGCATGCTGCTCGAGATGATGGTCGCTCAGCCTCCTCTCTTTGTCAAGGGCGTCTTGTACGAGCTGTCCAACAACGGCTCCGCGCGCGTGCTGAGCAACCATCTGCTGGCGCTGCTGGACCTCGCGCAGGACGCCGTGAGACAGAACGCGCGCCTGGACGTGGCCGACCTGTTGACCACTGCACTCGGGGTGCCGATGCCCCAGAGGGCCGACTTCATGGCCGGCGGGCGCCACGCGAGCAAGTCGTACATCCTCTTCGTGGCCCGGGCCGCGCGGATGGTCCTGGACGAGTGCGAGCCGTACATCGCCCTGAAGCAGTGGCTGCAGTGGGCCGACGTGCCCCTGCCGGCGCACGCCGAGCTGGTGCCCGCCGCGCAGCGGGCCGTGGGCGAGGCGGCGCGGGCGGTGCAGGAGGCCGACGAGGCGGGCGCGCGCTGGCTCCAGGAGCGCGGCCCGGCCCCGCCCGCGGGCGGCGAGCCCGCGCTGCCCTGGAGCGCGCCGCCCGGCGCGGGCGCGCTGGAGCTCGCCAGGGGCCTCTACGCGCAGGCGTTTGCCAAGTGCCGCCGCGCGCTGAAGGCCCACCCGGAGGTGCTGCACTCCCCCTGGCTCAAGGATCGGGGGTGGACAGACCTCCTACCCTGACACGTCGATTAAGGACTCGGCCGTTTTCGGTTCGCGAGAGGGCGTCGCGGCCGTCATTTTTGCGGGTCCAGGTCCGTCGGTTTCGGTCCCAGGCCGTTTTCACTAAGGGGAGGTTTACTACAGGGAGGTTTGCCCACCGCCGAAAGGACTTCTGGGCGCGCAACTACGACGCCCTCATCGTGATCTCCGTGCTGCGGAACGTGCAGGAGGACGTGGACCGGTGCCGATTCTGGGTGGGCGCCCAGCTCCGGCACGCGCAGAAGTGCGCCTCGTACACCGGCGCCACCGACGTCTGCGACGCGCTGTGGGAGCGCAACCCGGCCGCGGAGGTGCGGCTGGTCGATTGCCTGGTTGAGATTTTGTATTTCTACGAGGCCGACCGAGAGAAGTATCGCAGCGACCCTCTCGTGCAGGCGCTCATCGATGAGCCACCCGGCCCGTTCAACTTCACAGTCGTTTCCGCCATGGGCGTCATCACGGAGGGGGCGGCCGGTACAGAGATGGCGGCTACGTACGAGCGGCTCAGGAAGGCCCGCGGCGTTGAGGTGGTTCGGGCCGACACTGCCACGCTGCAGTCGGTAGACTACAACGCCACCATGATCGAGCGAGCAGTCGCCGAACAGGTGAGGACGCCCTGGGGCTGGGTTGGCTACAGCCAGGGCTGCGCCAACGCCTTCCGCGCGGAGGCCATGATGCTGCAGGGAACCCCAGAGCAGCAAAGGCTCATGAGCGGGTTCTGCTGCCGGCAGATGCTCTTCTCGGCCGCCAACGGCTCCGCCCACGCCACGTGCGGGGATCAGAAGCTGCTGCGAGCACTCACGGACGGCGAGCGCTTTGTCAAGAGATTCCAGGCCAGCATGTCGGGTGCCACCCAGCAGCTCTTCCTGAACGTCCTGCGCAGCCTGCTGTCCTCGCGCCTCGCGAAGGCGGGGCTGGGCAGCGTGCAGTCGATGACTCACGAGGGAGCCAGGCGGATGTGGCGCGACGGGCGGCATTGCGACTGGGCCCCGACGACGTCCATGCGGGCGGCCATCGAGCCGAATACGCTGCCCGAGTGCTTGCAGATGCTCGCCACGGTTCTGACCAAGCAGATGGAGTATTCCAAAAACCACGACACGCAGGTGGCGCTCGAGGAGGCGGTTGGGCACCCGATCGGCGTGCAGAACGCCAACGCCGAACTCCTCTCCAAGGTCGACATGGCCAGCGCGGTGCACCGCACGCACCACTGGTCCCCGCTGAAGGAGGAGGTGCTCTTCGTGGAGACCGAGAGGGACAGGGACATGGCCGTGTTCGACACCCCCAAGGACAGGCACATCTTCCCGTGGCTGGAGGTGAACGCCCGCTTCGGCGTCATCGAGCGCGCCGACCGGCGGCCCGACTGAGCGGGCCGGCCGAGACCGCCTGGACCTGCCGAGGCGGCCCGCCGCGGGCGGCCCTCGCCGGCCGCCGCGGGGCGCGAGGAGCCAGGCAGACCCGTGGGGCCCCATCGATCGCCGAGCTGGCTGAGCGGTCGGTGGGCTCGAGTGGGCGGGCGCAGGCTGCTTCTTTCCCTCTCGGGCTCGCGCGGTCACTAGGCACCAGGCAGGTGGTCCTCCTCCTCCTCCTCCTCCTCCTCCTTTTCCTGCTCTCCTCCTCCCGTTCCTCTGCCCTCTGTGCCGTTTTCCCATCTGGAAGAGGCCCAGTTCTGATTATGATGACGATGGTGGTGATGATGATGATGCTGATGCTAATGATGATGGTGTTTATGACGGTGATGGTGATGCTGATGATGATGGAGATAGTGATAAAGGTGATGCTGATGCTGATGGTGATGCTGATGGCGGTGGTGATGGTGCTGGTGATGGTGGTGGTGATGGTGGTGGTGGTGGTGTTGGTGCTGATGATGATAATGATGATGAGTGTGATGATGATGGTGATAGGGATGGTGATGGCGATGGTGATTATCTGATGACGGTAATGATGACGATGGCGATAACGATGACGATGACGATAACGACGACGGCGATGACGATGACGATGGTGTTGATGATGATGCTTAAACTGATGGTGATTGTGATGATGCTGATGACGATGACAATGACGATGATGATGATGATGATGATGATGATGATCATGATGATGACGATCACGATGACGATGATCACGATGACAATGATGCTGATGCTGATGCTGATGATGATGTTGATGATGCTGATGCTGATGATGATGGTGATGGCGGTGATGATGCTGATGATTATGGTACTGGTGGTGGTGGTGATGCTGATGCTGACGAGGATGCTCATGGCGGTGGTGATGGTGATGGTGATGGTGATGGTGATGGTTGTGGTCATGGTGACGGCGATGGACATGATCAAATGATGGTAATGATGACGATGGCAATCACGATGAGTATAATGACGATGACGATGATGATGACAATGACGACGACGATGAAGATGATGCTGATGCTGATGCTGATGCTGATGATGATGCTCATGGTGATGATGCTGATGGTGATGGTGATTGTAATGACAATGACCATGACAATGATGATGCTGATGATGGTGATTGTGATGACGAGGACGACGATGATGATGATGATGATCATAATGGGGATGATGATGATGGTGATGATGATGATACTGACGATGATGACGATGAAGATGATGATGCTGCTGATAATGATGCTGCTGATGATGGTGGTGGTGGTGGTGGTGCTGATGCTGATGTTGATGCTGATGGCGGTGGTGATGATGACGATGGTGGTGATGATGATGATCCGGATGATGATGATGATGATGATGATGACGATGATGCTGATGATGCTAATGCTGATGATGGTTATGATGATGCTGATGATGATGATGGTGATAATGATGCTGACGATGATGACGATGAAGATGCTGATGATGATTCTGATGATGACGATGATGTTGATGATTCTGCTGATGTTGATGATGATGATGGTGGTGGTGGTGATGCTGATGCTGATGGTGATGCTGATGGCGGTGGTGATGATGATGATGGTGATGATGATGATCCGGATGATGATGATGATTATGATGATGATGATGATGATAATGATGCTGACCATGATGACGATGCAGATGATGATGGTGATGATGATGACGATGATGTTGCTGATGATGCTGATGGTGATGATGATGATCCGGATGATGATGGTGGTGGTGATGCTTATGCTGATGATGATGGCGTTGGTGGTGATGATGATGCTGATGCTGATGGTGATGCTGATGGCGGTGGTGATGATGACGATGGCGGTGATGGTGATGATCAGGATGATGATGATGATGATGATGATGATGATGATGATGATGATGTTGATGATGATGATAATGATGATGATGATGGTGATGATGAGGCTGATGATGCTAATGATGATGATGGTTATGATGATGCTGATGATGATGATAATGATGATGATGATGATGATGGTGATAATGATGCTGACGATGATGACGATGAAGATGCTGATGATGATTCTGATGATGACGATGATGTTGATGATTCTGCTGATGTTGATGATGATGATGGTGGTGGTGATGCTGATGCTGATTATGGTGCTGATGGGGTTGGTGGTGATGATGCTGATGATGAAGATGATGCTGCTGATGGTGATGATGACGACGAAGGTGATGATGATGGTGGTGGTGATGATGCTGATGATGATGCTGCTGCTGATTATGTTGATGACGACGATGATGATGACGAGGAGGAGGAAGAGGAGGAGGATGACGAGGATGATGACGTGACCACGATGATGTCCACGGTGATTGTGGTTGTCCAAGAGGTCTACGCCATTCCGCTCCCGGTGTCGTATGGGATGCTTGCCGTTCACCGTCGTGATGCCTGCATGTAGTTGTTGCAGGTTCGCCCTCTTCTTCCCCCTTGCCGACTGCGGGGCTTCTTGGGGACCTCTCGGAGTCCTCGGGGGCGGCCTCTTGGGATGAACCTTCTCGTTGCACCCGGGGGCTTTTTTGGTACCCCTTGGGGGCTGCGTGGGGATTTCGTGGGGGCCTCTTGGGAACATGTTTGGGGGCCGGTTGTGATTATGAACGTGATTATGGTGCTGACGACGACGATGATGATGATGATGATGATGATGATGATGATGATGATGATGATGATGATGATGATGAGGATGATGATGATGATGATGATGATGATGGGGAGGAGAAGGAGGAGAAGGAGGAGGAGAAGGAAGACGAGGAGGAGGAGGAGGAGGACGAGTAGGAGCAGGAGCAGGCGCAGGAGCACCATCGGCAGAAGGAGGGCGATGACCTTGCCTCTTTCTCGTCGTTGTCGTCGCTGTCGGTTTTCCATTTCTAGAGAATCATTATGGTTGATCGGCAGAAATGGTCGAAGGCGCTCTCGCCTCGGCGCGGGCTGCATTCTCCGTGGAAGAGAAGCTCCCGCTCGAGCGCGGGCTCGTTTCCCAATCCCAGCTGTTGAGGACCCAACTGCGACGACAACAGCTCCCGTTCGATACTTCCTCACAGCCCGAGGCGTCGTGGTCAGAGACGCCCCCACGCTCCAGAATGGCGCTTCCTCCCCATACTAACACACTCGCAAGTCGCTCAAGTTGGTGAAGGCCTGATTGCGATGCTCTCGTGCGATGTTTCCCTGCAATGTACTCCCACGCGCCCTGGTCAGATGCGTTCTCACACTCAGGAATGGCTCTCTCGCCCGCGACTTCTTCGCAACTCCTTCCGTGTGGCGCAGGGCCAATATCAACAACAACGGCTCCCGCTTGATATCGAATGGCCTTCGGCCCATACCGTCACCGTGCCTGGGTTGTTGGCCATCGCCCTCTGGGATGTTCGCAAGGATGTCGTGGGAGGCCTCTCGGGGGCCTCTTGGGGACCCTTTTGAGGTCTCTTGGGGGCCGTTTTGGGGCCTTTGGGGAGTCTTCGGGGCCTCTTGGGGGTTCTCTTGGGGCCTCTTGGGGGCCTCTTGGGGCCCCCCTGGAGCCTCCTGGGGGCTTCTTCGGGCAGAAGGTTCGGATTTTCGGTTCGTATTCCCCCTCTTGGGCCCCTCTTGAGGCTGTCTTTGGGCCCTGTTGGGCCCTCTTGGGCCCTCTTGGGCGCCTCTGGAGCCATCTTGCAGCCCTCTTGGGCCGTGTTGGGGCCCTCCTGGGGGCCTCTTTGGGCCGTCTTGGGGCGACCCTGGGGGCCTCTTGGGCCGTCTTGAAGCGTCGGGAGCTGCTCTTTCAGGGACCAGCCCCAACGGCAGCGGCTCCCGCTCGATGATTCCTGGCACCTTCTTGAGAGACGCCCCAGCCAGGGACGTCCTTGCAGTTAGGACTGGCTCTCGCGCCAGACTTCCTTGCGACTTCTTCAGGTCGTCGTTGACGGTCCAACCATCACCACAGCTGCTCCCTATATTTTCCCACGACGGAGAGAGGGCCCGGCCGAGCACGTCCTCGCTCTCAGGAGTGGCGCTCTCGCCCGAGACAGCCTCGCAGCCTGCCCAGGCCGGAGACCCTGCAGCGGCTCCCGCTCGACACGCCCTCGCAACTTGCCTGGGAGCCCCTCTGAGAGCGCCAGGAAGCCCCTGGCCAGAGAGTTTCTGGCCAGGGTAGAGGGCCACATGCGAACTGACGCTTCACTTCCGCTTCACTTCCAGAGGCCCGCCGAGGCGCTGGCTGCCTGGGCGCTCCCACCCGCGAAGCCCGTCGTTGCCAACCCCCGGAGGCCTCGCCCGTCGGCCGCTGAAAGGTAGGTAGTTCTTCGATGCCCAGATCCCAGTCTGCTTCCAGCGCCTCCCTACTTCAAGGATTACGTCGGGCCTGTCCCTCTACAGGAGGAGTGTTCAAAAATAGTAGAGAAATATTCAGGATACGATTTTTTTTTTTTTTTTTTTTTTTTTTTTTTTTTTTTTTTTTTTTTTTTTTTTTTTTTTTTTTTTTTTTTTTTTTTTTTTTTTTTTTTTTTTTAAAAAAAAAAAAAACAAAAAAAACAATAGTATTTTTCGCCCAAAATCCGCCTGTAGGGGGACACGCCCGACCTAAGTCTACTTCAAGCGCCTCCCTACTTCAAGAATCGATCTGCTTCTGAGATGTTTTGTCATTCCCTGGGCGGGCCCGAACCCAATCTTCGGTATCGTTCAACCGATCCCCATCCCCATCTCCATCCCCTTCGAGGCCCCCTACCACATTACCACCCCCCGTTGGGGATGCGCCCCTCGAAACCCGAAGAGAACGACCCACATCCCCATCCAGAGGGGGGGCAAATGGGCCAGTGGGGCCCAGGCCACGCCGCTGGAGATGGGGATCGGTCGAACGACACCCAAACCTGCAGCCCACCCGCACAGCAAGGACGGCGCCGCTCTCCGAGGCTGCCCGTGCCTCCTTCCCCCAAAGAGGCGGCCGCCCAGCCCCCGG